TCACCCACCCTCACCCACCCACTCACTCACCAACCCACTCACCCACCCACTAACTCTCACCCATTCACTCACCCACCCACTCACCCACCCACTCACCCACCCATTCACTCACCCACCCATTCACTCACCCACCCACTCACTCACCCATTCACTCACTCACCCATTCACTCACCGACCCATTCACTCACCCACCCACTCACTCAACCACTCACTTACCCACCCACCCACTCACCCACCCACCCACTCACCCACCCACTCACCCACCCACTCACCCACCCACCCATTCACCCACCCACCCACTCACCCACCCACTCACCCACCCATTCACTCACCCACCCATTCACTCAACCACTCACTTACCCACCCATTCACTCACCCACCCATTCACTCACCCACTCACCCACTCAACCACTCACTTACCCACCCACTCACCCACCCATTCACCCACCCACTCACGTCACCCACTCACTCACTCACCCACTCACTCACCCACCCACTCACCCACCCATTCACCCACCCACTCACCCACCCACTCACCCACCCCACTCACCACCACCCACTCACCCACCCACTAACTCTCACCCATTCACTCACCCACCCACTCACCCACCCACTCACCCACCCATTCACTCACCCACCCATTCACTCACCCACCCACTCACTCACCCATTCACTCACTCACCCATTCACTCACCGACTCACTCACCCACCCACTCACTCAACCACTCACTTACCCACCCACCACACTCACCCACCCACCCACTCATCCACTCACTCACCCACCCACTCACCCACTCATTCACCCACCCACTCACCCACCCACCCATTCACCCACCCACCCACTCACCCACCCACCCACTCACCCACCCACTCACCCACCCATTTACCCACCCACTCACCCACCCATTCACCCACCCACCCACCCACATACCCACTCACCCACCCACACACCCACCCACTCACCCACCCATTCACTCACCCACCCATTCACTCACCCACTCACTCACTCACCCACTCACTCACCCACCCACCCACCCACTCACCCACCCACCCACTCACTCACCCACTCACCTCACCCACTCACTCACCCACCCACTCACTCACTCACCCACCCACTCACCCACCCACTCACTCACTCACCCACTCACTTTCCCACTCACCCTCACCCACTCACCCACTCACTCACCCACTCACTCACTCACCCACTCACTCACTCACCCACTCACCCACCCACTCGCTCACCCACTCACTCACCCACCCACTCACATCACCCACCCACTCACTCACCCACTCACTCACTCACCCACTCACTCACCCACTCACTCACTCACCCAATCACTCACCCACTCACTCACTCACCCACTCACTCACCCACCCACTCACACACCCACTCACCCACTCACTCACTCACCTCACTCACCTCACTCACTCACTCACCCACTCACTCACATCACTCACCCACTCACTCACTCACCCACTCACTCACCCACTCACTCACTCACCCACTCACCCACTCACCCACTCACTCACTCACCCACTCACTCACTCACCCACTCACTCACTCACCCACTCACTCACCCACTCACTCACCCACTCACTCACCCACTCACTCACTCACACACCCACTCACCCACTCACTCACCCACGTTACTCACCCACTCACATTCACTCACTCACCCACTTCACACCCACTCACTCACTCACTCACCCACTCACTCACCCACTCACCCCACTCACCCACTCACTCACTCTCTCACCCACTCACTCACTCACTCACCCACTCACTCACCCACTCACTCACTCACCCACCCACTCACCCACCCACTCACCCACTCACTCACCCACTCACCCACCCACTCACTCACTCACTCACCCACCCACACACCCACTCACTCACTCACCCACTCACTCACCCACCCACTCACTCACCCACCCACCCACCCCACCTCCTCTACGTATGCCACCATGCCGGCCTTCATCGCCACTGCGGCTGCTACCCGCTGCTGACAACACTTGCCCCCTGACAACACTTGCCCCGACAGTCTGTTAAGAGGCTACCACGGGGGACCTTTGTCTTTGTGTGTTGTGTGCAATCAGCCATCCCTCCAATCTCATGCTGGATCGTCTCTCGGGAAAAATCCTCCACATCGACTTTGGAGACTGCTTTGAGGTCAGGTTCACGGTGGCCATGTGGGTGGGTGGGGTTCACTGTGTCCGTGTGGGTGGGTGGGGTTCACTGTGGCCGTGTGGGTGGGTGGGGTTCACGGTGTCCGTGTGGGTGGGTGGGGTTCACGGTGACCGTGTGGGTGGGTGGGGTTCACTGTGGCCGTGTGGGTGGGTGGGGTTCACGGTGGCAGTGTGGGTGGGTGGGGTTCACTGTGACCGTGTGGGTGGGTGGGGTTCACTGTGGCCGTGTGGGTGGGTGGGGTTCACTGTGGCCATGTGGGTGGGTGGGGTTCACTGTGTCCGTGTGGGTGGGTGGGGTTCACTGTGACCGTGTGGGTGGGTGGGGTTCACTGTGTCCGTGTGGGTGGGTGGGGTTCACGATGTCCGTGTGGGTGGGTGGGGTTCACTGTGGCCGTGTGGGTGGGTGGGGTTCACAATGGCCGTGTGATGATGCTGATGGTGATGATCATGTTGATGATGGTGATGATGGTGGTGATGTTGATGATGGTGATGATGGTGATGATGATGGTGATGATCATGTTGATGGTGATGATGATGATCATGTTGATGGTGATGATGGTGGTGATGTTGATGATGGTGATGTAGATGATGATGATGCTGGTGGTGATGTTGATGATGGTCTCGATGTTGATGATGGTGGTGATATTGATGATGGTGGTGTTGATGATAGTGGTGATGTTGATGGTGATGTTGATGATGATGATGTTGATGGTGATGATGATGGTGATGTTGATGATGATGTTGATGATGGTGTTGATGGTGATGTTGATGATGATGGTGATGATGGTGGTGATGTTGATGATGATGATGTTGGTGATGATGGTGGTGATGTTGATGATGATGGTGGTGATGTTGATGATGATGTTGATGATGATGGTGATGATGATGATGATGTTGATGATGGTGATGATGTTGATGATGGTGATGATGGTGATGTAGATGATGATGCTGATGGTGATGATGATGATGTTGATGATGATGGTGATGTTGATGATGATGATGGTGATGTTGATGATGATGATGGTGATGTTGATGATGATGATGGTGATGTTGATGATGGTGGTGATGTTGATGATGTTGATGATGATGTTGATGATGGTGATATTGATGATGGTGGTGTTGATGATAGTGGTGATGTTGATGGTGATGTTGATGATGATGTTGATGTTGATAATGATGGTGATGTTGATGATGATGGTGATGATGATGATGGTGATGGTGATGTTGATGATGGTGATGATGGTGTTGATGTTGATGATGGTGTTGATGTTGATGATGATGGTGATGTTGATGATGATGTTGGTGATGATGGTGGTGATGATAGTGGTGATGTTGATGATGATGGTGTTGGTGATGTTGATGATGATGGTGATGATGGTGGTGGTGATGTTGATGATGATGGTGTTGGAGATGTTGATGATGGTGATGATGGTGATGTTGATGATGATGTTGATATTGATGATGGTGGTGTTGATGATAGTGGTGATGTTGATGGTGATGTTGATGATGATGTTGATGGTGATGTTGATGATGGTGTTGATGGTGATGTTGATGATGATGGTGATGTTGATGATGGTGATGATGGTGGTGATGTTGATGATGATGGTGTTGGTGATGTTGATGATGATGGTGATGATGGTGGTGGTGATGTTGATGATGATGGTGTTGGTGATGTTGATGATGGTGATGATGGTGATGTTGATGATGATGGTGATGTTGATGATGATGATGTTGATGATGTTGATGATGATGGTGGTGGTGATGTTGATGGTGATGATGATGGTGATGTTGATGATGTTGATGATAGTGATGTTGATGATGTTGATGATGATGGTGATGTTGATGATGTTGATGATGATGGTGATGTTGATGATGGTGATGATGGTGATGTTGATGATGATGGTGATGATGGTGTTCATGTTGATGGCGGTGATGATGATGTTGATGATGTTGTTTAGGATGATGTTGATGATGGTGGTCATGATGGTGATGTTGATGTTGATGATGATGGTGATGATGTTGATGATGTTGATGATGGTGATGTTGATGATGTTGATGATGATGGTCATGTTGATGTTGATGATGTTGATGATGGTGATGATGTTGATGATGGTGATGATGATGGTGATGTTGATGATGATGGTGATGATGATGTTAATGATGGTGATGATGATGGTGTTGATGATGATGGTGATGATGATGTTGATGATGTTGATGTTGATGATGATGGTGTTGATGATGATGTTGAGGATGTTGATGATGGTGATGTTGATGATGATGTTGATGATGGTGTTGATGATGATGTTGATGATGGTGTTGATGATGGTGGTGATGATGGTGATGTTGATGATGGTGATGATGATGATGGTGATGATGTTGATGATGTTGATGGTGATGTTGATGATGGTGATGATGTTGATGATGATGTTGATGATGATGTTGATGATGATGATGGTGATGATGTTGATGATGTTGATGGTGATGTTGATGATGGTGATGATGTTGATGATGATGTTGATGATGATGTTGATGATGATGATGATGGTGATGATGATGATGTTGATGATGTTGATGTTGGTTGGCTCTGTCCAGGTGGCCATGACAAGGGAGAAATTCCCGGAGAAAATTCCATTCCGTCTCACCAGGATGCTCACTAACGCCATGGAGGTGAGCATCCATCACCAACAACATCACCAACATCATCACCATCACCAACAACATCACCAACAACATCACCAACAACATCACCAACATCATCACCATCACTAACATCACCAACATCACCAACAACATCACCAACAACATCACCATCACTAACATCACCAACATCACCAACAACATCACCAACATCATCACCATCACTAACATCACCACCATCACTAACATCACTAACATCACCAACATCACCAACAACATCACCAACAACATCACTACCATCACCAACAACATCACTAACATCATCACTAACATCATCACTAACATCACCATCACCATCACTAACATCATCACCATCACTAACATCACTAACATCACCAACATCACCAACAACATCACCATCACTAACATCACCACCATCACTAACATCACCACCATCACTAACATCACCAACATCACCAACAACATCACCAACATCATCACCATCACTAACATCACCACCATCACTAACATCACTAACATCACCAACATCACCAACAACATCACCAACAACATCACTACCATCACCACCATCACTACCATCAACAACATCACCAACATCATCAACAACAACACCAACAACATCACTACCATCACCAACAACATCACTAACATCATCACTAACATCATCACTAACATCACCAACATCATCACCAACATCACCAACAACATCAACAACATCACTAACATCATCAGCACCATCACCACCATCATCATCATCACCATCATCACTAACATCACTAACATCATCACCATCACTACCATCATCACCATCACTACCATCACTAACATCATCACCAACATCATCACTAACATCATCACCATCATCACTAACACTAACATCACTAACATCATCACCAACACCACCATCACTAACATCATCACTACCATCATCATCACCAACATCACCACCATCATCACCAACATCACCACCATCATCACCAACATCACCATCACTACCATCACCACCATCACTACCATCACCACCATCACTACCATCACTACCACCATCACCACCACCATCACTACCATCACCACCACCATCACCAACATCACCACCATCATCACCAACATCACCACCATCATCACTAACATCATCAGCATCACCACCATCATCATCACCATCATCATCACCATCATCACCACCACTACCATCACTAACATCACCAACATTACCACCATCATCACTAACATCATCAGCATCACCACCACCATCATCACTAACATCACCAACATCACCAACATCACCATCATCACCATCATCACCACCACTACCATCACTAACATCATCACCAACATCACCACCATCATCACTAACATCATCAGCATCACCACCACCATCATCACTAACATCACCAACATCACCATCATCACCATCACCATCATCACCAACATCACCATCATCATCACCATCACCATCATCACCACCACTACCATCACTAACATCACCATCACCATCATCACTAACATCACCATCACTATCATCACTACCACATCACTAACATCACCACCACTACCATCACCATCACTACCATCACTAACATCACCACCATCATCATCACCAACATCACCAACATCATCACTACCATCACCACCATCACTATCATCACTACCACATCACTAACATCACCATCACTACCATCATCACCATCACCACCATCACTAACATCACCACCATCACTAACATCACCACCATCACTATCATCACTACCACATCACTAACATCACCATCACTACCATCATCACCAACATCACCATCACTAACATCACCACCATCACTACCATCACTACCATCATCACCATCACTACCATCATCACCATCACTAGCATCGCTAACATCATCACCAACATCATCACTAACATCATCACCATCATCACTAACACTAACATCACTAACATCATCACCAACACCACCATCACTAACATCATCACTACCATCATCATCACCAACATCACCAACATCATCACTATTATCACTAACATCACCAACATCATCATCACCAACATCACCACCATCATCACCAACATCACCACCATCATCACCAACATCACCATCACTACCATCACCACCATCACTACCATCACCACCATCACTACCATCACTCCCACCATCACCACCACCATCACTACCATCACCACCACCATCACCAACATCACCACCATCATCACCAACATCACCACCATCATCACTAACATCATCAGCATCACCACCATCATCATCATCATCACCATCATCATCACCATCATCACCACCACTACCATCACTAACATCACCAACATCACCACCATCATCACTAACATCATCAGCATCACCACCACCATCATCACTAACATCACCAACATCACCAACATCACCATCATCACCATCATCACCACCACTACCATCACTAACATCATCACCAACATCACCACCATCATCACTAACATCATCAGCATCACCACCACCATCATCACTAACATCACCAACATCACCATCATCACCAACATCACCATCATCATCACCATCACCATCATCACCACCACTACCATCACTAACATCACCATCATCACTAACATCACCATCACTATCATCACTACCACATCACTAACATCACCACCACTACCATCACCATCACTACCATCACTAACATCACCACCATCATCATCACCAACATCACCAACATCATCACTACCATCACCACCATCACTATCATCACTACCACATCACTAACATCACCATCACTAACATCACCATCACTACCATCATCACCATCACCACCATCACTAACATCACCACCATCACTAACATCACCACCATCACTAACATCACCACCATCACTACCATCACTAACATCATCACCAACATCATCACTAACATCATCACTAACACTAACATCACTAACATCATCACCAACACCACCATCACTAACATCATCACTACCATCATCATCACCAACATCACCAACATCATCACTATCATCACCATCACTAACATCACCAACATCATCACCAACATCACCACCATCATCACCAACATCACCATCACTACCATCACCACCATCACTACCATCACCACCACCATCACTACCATCACCACCACCATCACCATCACCAACATCACCACCATCATCACCAACATCACCACCATCATCACTAACATCATCAGCATCACCACCACCATCATCACCATCATCACCATCATCATCACCATCATCACCACCACTACCATCACTAACATCATCACCAACATCACCACCATCATCACTAACATCATCAGCATCACCACCACCATCATCACTAACATCACCAACATCACCATCATCACCATCATCACCATCATCATCACCATCATCACCACCACTACCATCACTAACATCACCATCATCACTAACATCACCATCACTATCATCACTACCACATCACTAACATCACCACCACTACCATCACCACCACTACCATCACTAACATCATCACCAACATCACCACCATCATCACTAACATCATCAGCATCACCACCACCATCATCACTAACATCACCAACATCACCATCATCACCAACATCATCACTACCATCACCACCATCACTATCATCACTACCACATCACTAACATCACCATCACTACCATCATCACCATCACCACCATCACTAACATCACCACCATCACTAACATCACCACCATCACCACCATCACTACCATCACCATCACTACCATCATCACCATCACCAGCATCACCATCACCAACATCACCACCATCATCACCATCACTAACATCACCACCATCATCATCACCTTCACCAACATCACCAACATCACCACCATCATCATCACCAACATCACCAACATCATCACTACCATCATCACCATCACCACCATCACTACCATCACCATCACTACCATCACCACCATCACTACCATCACCATCACTACCATCACTACCATCACTAACATCACCACCATCACCATCACCACCATCACTACCATCACCATCACTACCATTACCACCATCACTAACATCACAACCATCACCATCACCACCATCACTACCATCACTACCATCACCACCACCATCACTAACATCACTACCATCACTACCATCATCAACATCACCACCATCACTACCATCACTACCACCATCACCAACATCATCACCATCAACATCACCATCATCACTACCATCATCACTACCATCATCACCACCATCATCACCACCATCATCACCACCATCATTACCATCACTACCATCACCTCCATCACCACCATCATCACAATCACCACCATCACTACCATCACCACCATCACTACCATAATCACCACCATCACCACCATCACCACCACCATCACCACCATCACCACCATCACTACCATAATCACCACCATCACCACCATCATCACCACCATCACTACCATCACCACCATCACCACGACCATCATCATCATCACCATTACCACCACCATGGCCACAACCACCACCATCGCCACCATCACCACGATCATCATCACAATCACCACCATCATCATGGCCACCACCACCATCATCAATACCACCACCACAACCACCATCACCACCACTGTCACCACCACTGTGTGAGTTGATGGTAGTGGTTGTGGTGGTGGTTGTGGTGGTTGTTGTTGTGGATGTTGTGGTGGTTGTTGTTGTGGATGTTGTGGTGGTTGTTGTTGTGGTTGTTTTGGTGGTGGTGGTTGTGGTGGTTGTGGTGGTGGTGCAGGTGACGGGTCTGGACGGTAACTACCGCACCACGTGCCACAACGTCACGTGTTGATGGTTGTTGTGGTGGTGGTTGTGGTTGTTGTGGTGGTGATGCAGGTGACTGGTCTGGACGGTAACTACCGCACCACGTGTCACAACGTCACGTGTTGATGGTTGTTGTTGTGGTGGTGGTTGTGGTGGTTGTGGTGGTGATGCAGGTGACTGGTCTGGACGGTAACTACCGCACCACGTGTCACAACGTCACGTGTTGATGGTTGTTGTTGTGGTTGTTGTGGTTGTTGTTGTGGTGGTGATGCAGGTGACTGGTCTGGACGGTAACTACCGCACCACGTGTCACAACGTCACGTGTTGATGGTTGTTGTTGTGGTGGTGGTTGTGGTGGTTGTGGTGGTGATGCAGGTGACTGGTCTGGACGGTAACTACCGCACCACGTGTCACAACGTCACGTGTTGATGGTTGTTGTTGTGGTTGTTGTGGTGGTTGTTGTGGTGGTTGTTGTGGTGGTTGTGGTGGTGGTGCAGGTGACTGGTCTGGACGGTAACTACCGCACCACGTGCCACAACGTCACGTGTTGATGGTTGTTGTTGTGGTTGTTGTGGTGGTTGTGGTGGTTGTGGTGGTGATGCAGGTGACTGGTCTGGACGGTAACTACCGCACCACGTGCCACAACGTCACGTGTTGATGGTTGTTGTTGTGGTTGTTGTGGTGGTTGTGGTGGTTGTGGTGGTGATGCAGGTGACTGGTCTGGACGGTAACTACCGCACCACGTGCCACAACGTCACGTGTTGATGGTTGTTGTTGTGGTTGTTGTGGTTGTTGTGGTGGTTGTTGTGGTGGTTGTGGTGGTTGTGGTGGTGGTGCAGGTGACTGGTCTGGACGGTAACTACCGCACCACGTGTCACAACGTCATGGAAGTACTCAGGCAGCACCGTGACTCCGTCATGGCCGTCCTCGAGGCTTTTGTGTACGACCCCCTCCTGAACTGGCGCCTGATGGACAGTGAGGACCACCACCACCTGCACCACCACCTGCACCACCACTACCTGCACCACCACCTGCACCACCTCCACTACCACCTGCACCACCACCACCTGCACCACCACTACCTGCACTACCACCTGCACCTGCACCACCACCACCACCTCCACCACCACCACCACCACCTCCACCACCACCATCACCTCCACCACCACCACCATCACCTCCACCACCACCACCACCATCACCACCACCACCACCACCACCATCACCACCACCACCCTAACCCCCCCCCCTCCCCCCCCCCCCCCCCCCCCCCCCCTCTGCAGCCACAGCCAAGCCCACCAAGCGGTCTCACGGCAGGGACGGCTCCTTCTCCTCCAGCCAGGGTGGCTCTGGTGAGGCGACGCTCAGCCTGGGGGCACCCCCAGTGGCAGCTGTCTCTGTGTGTGAGGCTGCTGTGTGGTGCTGTGTGGTGCTGTGTGGTGCTGTGTGGTGCTGTAGCCTAGGGGACACCCCCAGTGACAGCTGTCCCTGTGTGTGAGTCTGCTGTGTGGTGCTGTAGCCCTAGGGGACACCCCCAGTGGCAGCTGTCTCTGTGTGTGAGTCTGCTGTGTGGTGCTGTAGCCCTAGGGGACACCCCCAGTGGCAGCTGTCCCTGTGTGTGAGTCTGCTGTGTGGTGCTGTAACCCTAGGGGACACCCCCAGTGACAGCTGTCTCTGTGTGTGAGTCTGCTGGTGCTGTGTGATGCTGTGTGGTGCTGTGTGGTGCTGTGTGGTGCTGTGTGGTGCTGTAGCCCTAGGGGACACCCCCAGTGGCAGCTGTCCCTGTGTGTGAGTCTGCTGTGTGGTGCTGTAGCCCTAGGGGACACCCCCAGCGACAGCTATCCCTGTGTGCGAGTCTGCTGTGTCGTGGTGTGTGGTGCTGTGTGGTGCTGTGTGGTGCTGTGTGGTGCTGTGTGGTGCTGTAGCCCTAGGGGACACCCCCAGTGGCAGCTGTCCCTCTTCCCCCGAGTGTCAGATGGTCACCTCACCGCCTCGCTCCACCACCACCACCACCACCCCTTCCCCTACAGACGTCATGGACAATATGGAGGTTGCTAGCAGTCAGTCCAAGCTGGGATCGACTGGACCAGACTCCTTGCCATCCTTCCGTGAGTCATTCACTGTGGCCGTGTGGGTGGGTGGGTGTGGGTGGGTGGGTGGGTGGGGTTCACGGTGGCCGTGTGGGTGGGTGGGATTCACGGTGGCCGTGTGGGTGGGTGGGGTTCACTGTGGCCGTGTGGGTGGGTGGGGTTCACGGTGGCCGTGTGGGTGGGTGGGGTTCACTGTGGCCGTGTGGGTGGGTGGGGTTCACTGTGTCCGTGTGGGTGGGTGGGTGTGGGTGGGTGGGTGGGTGGGGTTCACGGTGGCCGTGTGGGTGGGTGGGATTCACGGTGGCCGTGTGGGTGGGTGGGGTTCACTGTGGCCGTGTGGGTGGGTGGGGTTCACTGTGGCCGTGTGGGTGGGTGGGGTTCACGATGGCCGTGTGGGTGGGTGGGTGTGGGTGGGTGGGGTTCACGGTGGCCGTGTGGGTGGGTGGGTGTGGGTGGGTGGGGTTCACTGTGTCCGTGTGGGTGGGTGGGGTTCACGGTGGCCGTGTGGGTGGGTGGGTGGGGTTCACGGTGTCCGTGTGGGTGGGTGGGGTTCACTGTGACCGTGTGGGTGGGTGGGGTTCACGGTGTCCGTGTGGGTGGGTGGGGTTCACGATGTCCGTGTGGGTGGGTGGGGTTCACTGTGACCGTGTGGGTGGGTGGGGTTCACGATGGCCGTGTGGGTGGGTGGGTGTGGGTGGGTGGGGTTCACGGTGGCCGTGTGGGTGGGTGGGTGTGGGTGGGTGGGGTTCACTGTGTCCGTGTGGGTGGGTGGGGTTCACGGTGGCCGTGTGGGTGGGTGGGTGGGGTTCACTGTGGCCGTGTGGGTGGGTAGGGTTCACGGTGTCCGTGTGGGTGGGTGGGGTTCACGATGTCCGTGTGGGTGGGTGGGGTTCACTGTGGCCGTGTGGGTGGGTAGGGTTCACGGTGTCCGTGTGGGTGGGTGGGGTTCACGATGTCCGTGTGGGTGGGTGGGGTTCACTGTGACCGTGTGGGTGGGTGGGGTTCACGATGGCCGTGTGGGTGGGTGGTGTTCAAGGTGGTTGATGTTTAATGTGGTGGTGGTTGTTGTTGTGCAGTTGGTCAAGGATTTGTGCAGCACGAAGCTCTGAACAAGAAAGCCATCACCATCATCAACCGGGTCCGGGACAAGCTTACAGGTCCTGCTTAACCACAACCACCTTAACCACAACCACCTTAACCACAACCACCTTAACCACAACCACCTTAACCACAACCACCTTAACCACAACCACCTTAACCACAACAATCATCATTACAACCACCACAATCACCACCACAACAATCATCAACGGCCACCATTACAACCATCACCACAATCTGTGTTTGTGCGGGTGTGGAAGCAATGGCACTGCTACTACAACCACTATCACTACTACACTACTACAACCACTATCACTACTATCACTACTACTACTATCACTACTACTACACTACTACTACTATCACTACTACTACACTACTACTACTATCACTACTACTACACTACTACTACACTATCACTACTACACTACTACTACACTACTACTACATTACTACTACTACACTACTACTACACTATCACTACTACACTACTACTACACTACTACTACATTACTACTACTACACTACTACTACTATCACTACAACACTACTACTACTACACTACTACTATCACTACTACTACTATCACTACTACTATCACTACAACACTATTACTACTATCACTACTACTACACTACTACTATCACTACTACTACTATCACTACTACTATCACTACAACACTATTACTACTATCACTACTACTACTACACTACTACTATCACTACTACTACTACACTACTACTATCACTACTACTACTATCACTACTACACTACTACTACTATCACTACTACTACACTATCACTACAACACTACTACTACACTACTACTATCACTACTACACTATCACTACAGCACTACTACTACACTACTACTACACTACTACTACTATCACTACTACTACACTACTACTACACTACTACTACTATCACTACTACTACACTACTACTACACTACTACTACTATCACTACTACTACACTACTACTACTACACTACTACTACACTTCTACTACACTACTACTACTACACTACTACTACACTACTACTACACTATCACTACAACACTACTACTACTACTATCACTACTACTACTACACTATCACTACTACACTACTACTACACTACTACTATCACTACTACTACACTACCACTACTACTACACTATTACTACTACACTACCACTACACTACTACTACACTTCCACTACACTACTACTACACTACTACTACCACTACACTACTACACTACTACTACACTACTACTACTACACTACTACTACACTACTACTACTACAATACTACTACACTACTACACTGCTGCTACTACACCACTACTACCATCACTACCACTACTACCATCACTACCACTACTACCATCACCATCACTACCACTGCTGCTACACTACTACTACTACACTACCACCACTACTACACTACTACTACACCACTACTACACTACTACCACCACCATCACTACCACTGCTACTATACCACTACCACCACCACTATCACTACTACTACACTACTACCACTACTACCACCACCATCACTACCACTGCTACTACACCACTACCACCATCACTATCACTACTACTACACTACTACCATCACCATCACTACCACTGCTACTACACTACTACTACTACACTATCACTACTACTACACTACCATTACTATCACTACTACTACACTATCACTACTACTACACTACTACCATCACCACCACTGCTGCTACACTACTACTACACTACTACCATCACTATCACTACTACTACACTATTACTACCACCATCACTATCACTACACTACTACTACACCACTACTACTATCATCACTATCACTGCTACTACTACACTATCACTACTACTACACTATCACTACTACTACACTACTACCATCACTACCACTACTACACCACTACTACTACACTACTACTACACTACTACACTACTACTACTACACTACTACACTACTACTACACTACTACCACTACTACCATCACTATCACTACCACTGGTGCTACACCACTACTACACCACCACTACCATCACCACCACTGGTGCTACACCACTACTACACTACCATCACTATCACTACTACTACACTACTACCACCACTACCATCACCATCACCACCACTGGTGCTACACCACTACTACACTACCATCACTATCACTACTACTACACTACTACCACCACTACCATCACCATCACCACCACTGGTGCTACACCACTACTACACTACCATCACTATCACTACTACTACACTACTACCACCACTACCATCACCATCACCACCACTGGTGCTACACCACTACTACACTACCATCACTATCACTACTAGTACACTACACCACCACTACCATCACCACCACTGGTGCTACACCACTACTACACTACCATCACTATCACTACTACTACACTACTACCACCACTACCATCACCATCACCACCACTGGTGCTACACCACTACTACACTACCATCACTATCACTACTACTACACTACACCACCACTACCATCACCACCACTGGTGCTACTCTGGCTGTTGTCTCTCCCTCACGGTGACCCCTGGCGGTGACCCCCTCGCGGTGACCCCTCGCGGTGACCCCTCGCGGTGACCCCCTGGCGGTGACCCCTCGCGGTGACCCCTCGCTGTGATGTCCTCCCAGGCCGTGACTTCTCACACGACGAGACGTTGGACGTCCCCACTCAGGTGCAGCTGCTCATCAAACAGGCCACCTCACACGAGAACCTGTGTCAATGTTACATCGGATGGTGAGCAACTCTGTACACTCACCACTCACTCACCACTCACTCACCACTCATCAAACAGGCCACCTCACACGAGAACCTGTGTCAATGTTACATCGGATGGTGAGCAACTCTGTACACTCACCACTCACCACTCACCACGCTGTACACTCACCACTCACTCACCACTCATCAAACAGGCCACCTCACACGAGAACCTGTGTCAGTGTTACATCGGATGGTGAGCAACTCTGTACACTCACCACTCACCACGCTGTACACTCACCACTCACTCACCACTCATCAAACAAGCCACCTCACACGAGAACCTGTGTCAATGTTACATCGGATGGTGAGCAACTCTGTACACTCACCACTCACTCACTCACCACGCTGTACACTCACCACTCACTCACCACTCATCAAACAGGCCACCTCACACGAGAACCTGTGTCAGTGTTACATCGGATGGTGAGCAACTCTGTACACTCACCACTCACTCACCACTCACTCACCACTCACTCACTCACCACTCACTCACCACTCATCAAACAGGCCACCTCACACGAGAACCTGTGTCAATGTTACATCGGATGGTGAGCCACTCACCACTCACTCACCACTCACTCACCACTCACTAACCACTCATCAAACAGGCCACCTCACACGAGAACCTGTGTCAATGTTACATCGGATGGTGAGCAACTCACCACTCACTCACCACTCACTCACCATGCTGTACACTCACCACTCACTCACCACTCACTCACCACGCTGTACACTCACTCACCACTCTGTACACTCACCACTCACTCACTCACCACTCACTCACCACTCATCAAACAAGCCACCTCACACGAGAACCTGTGCCAGTGTTACATCGGATGGTGAGCAACTCACCACTCACTCACCACTCACTCACCACGCTGTACACTCACCACGCTGTACACTCACCACTCACTCACCACTCATTCACCACGCTGTACACTCACCACTCACTCACCACTCACTCACCACTCATCAAACAGGCCACCTCACACGAGAACCTGTGCCAGTGTTACATCGGATGGTGAGCAACTCACCACTCACTCACCACTCACTCACCACTCACTCACCACTCACTCACCACTCATCAAACAAGCCACCTCACACGAGAACCTGTGTCAATGTTACATCGGATGGTGAGCCACTCACCACTCACTCACCACTCACTCACCACGCTGTACACTCACCACTCGGTACACTCACCACGCTGTACACTCACTCACCACTCATCAAACAGGCCACCTCACACGAGAACCTGTGTCAGTGTTACATCGGATGGTGAGCAACTCTGTACACTCACCACTCACTCACCACTCACTCACCACTCACTCACTCACCACTCACTCACCACTCATCAAACAGGCCACCTCACACGAGAACCTGTGTCAATGTTACATCGGATGGTGAGCCACTCACCACTCACTCACCACTCACTCACCACTCACTCACCACTCATCAAACAGGCCACCTCACACGAGAACCTGTGTCAATGTTACATCGGATGGTGAGCAACTCACCACTCACTCACCACTCACTCACCACTCACTCACCATGCTGTACACTCACCACTCACTCACCACTCACTCACCACGCTGTACACTCACTCACCACTCTGTACACTCACCACTCACTCACTCACCACTCACTCACCACTCATCAAACAAGCCACCTCACACGAGAACCTGTGCCAGTGTTACATCGGATGGTGAGCAACTCACCACTCACTCACCACTCACTCACCACGCTGTACACTCACCACGCTGTACACTCACCACTCACTCACCACTCATTCACCACGCTGTACACTCACCACTCACTCACCACTCACTCACCACTCATCAAACAGGCCACCTCACACGAGAACCTGTGCCAGTGTTACATCGGATGGTGAGCAACTCACCACTCACTCACCACTGACTCACCACTCACTCACCACTCACTCACCACTCATCAAACAAGCCACCTCACACGAGAACCTGTGTCAATGTTACATCGGATGGTGAGCCACTCACCACTCACTCACCACTCACTCACCACGCTGTACACTCACCACTCGGTACACTCACCACGCTGTACACTCACTCACCACTCATCAAACAGGCCACCTCACACGAGAACCTGTGTCAGTGTTACATCGGATGGTGAGCAACTCACCACTCACTCACCACTCTGTACACTCACCACTCTGTACACTCACTCACTACTCACTACTCACCACTCACTCACCACTCACTCACTCACCACTCACTCACCACTCATCAAACAGGCCACCTCACACGAGAACCTGTGCCAGTGTTACATCGGATGGTGAGCAACTCACCACTCACTCACCACTGACTCACCACTCACTCACCACTCACTCACCACTCATCAAACAAGCCACCTCACACGAGAACCTGTGTCAATGTTACATCGGATGGTGAGCCACTCACCACTCACTCACCACTCACTCACCACGCTGTACACTCACCACTCGGTACACTCACCACGCTGTACACTCACTCACCACTCATCAAACAGGCCACCTCACACGAGAACCTGTGTCAGTGTTACATCGGATGGTGAGCAACTCACCACTCACTCACCACTCTGTACACTCACCACTCTGTACACTCACTCACTACTCACTACTCACCACTCACTCACCACTCACTCACTCACCACTCACTCACCACTCATCAAACAAGCCACCTCACACGAGAACCTGTGTCAGTGTTACATCGGATGGTGAGCCACTCTGTACACTCACCACTCACTCACTCACCACGCTGTACACTCACCACTCACTCACCACGCTGTACACTCACTCACCACTCTGTACACTCACCCACTCATCAAACAGGCCACCTCACACGAGAACCTGTGTCAATGTTACATCGGATGGTGAGCAACTCACCACTCACTCACCACTCACTCACCACTCACTCACCACTCACTCACCACGCTGTACACTCACTCAACACTCACTCACCACTCACTCACTCACTCACCACTCACTCACCACTCATCAAACAAGCCACCTCACACGAGAACCTGTGTCAGTGTTACATCGGATGGTGAGCAACTCACCACTCACTCACCACTCTGTACACTCACCACTCTGTACACTCACTCACTACTCACCACTCACTCACCACTCACTCACTCACCACTCACTCACCACTCATCAAACAGGCCACCTCACACGAGAACCTGTGTCAGTGTTACATCGGATGGTGAGCCACTCTGTACACTCACCACTCACTCACTCACCACGCTGTACACTCACCACTCGGTACACTCACCACTCACCACTCATCAAACAAGCCACCTCACACGAGAACCTGTGTCAATGTTACATCGGATGGTGAGCCACTCACCACTCACTCACCACTCACTCACCACTCACTCACCACGCTGTACACTCACTCACCACTCACTCACCACGCTGTACACTCACCACTCACTCACCACTCATCAAACAGGCCACCTCACACGAGAACCTGTGTCAGTGTTACATCGGATGGTGAGCAACTCACCACTCACTCACCACGCACTCACTCACCACTCACTCACCACTCACTCACCACTCACCACACTGTACACTCACCACTCACTCACCCACTCATCAAACAGGCCACCTCACACGAGAACCTGTGTCAGTGTTACATCGGATGGTGAGCAACTCTGTACACTCACCACTCATTCACTCACCACTCACTCACCACTCTGTACACTCACCACTCACCACTCATCAAACAGGCCACCTCACACGAGAACCTGTGTCAGTGTTACATCGGATGGTGAGCCACTCTGTACACTCACTCACCACTCACTCACCACTCACTCACTCACCACTCATTCACCACTCACTCACTCACTCACCACTCACCACGCTGTACACTCACTCACCACTCATCAAACAAGCCACCTCACACGAGAACCTGTGTCAGTGTTACATCGGATGGTGAGCAACTCTGTACACTCACCACTCACTCACCACGCTGTACACTCACTCACCACTCACTCACTCACTCACCACTCTGTACACTCACTCACCACTCATCAAACAGGCCATCTCACACGAGAACCTGTGTCAGTGTTACATCGGATGGTGAGCCACTCACCACTCACTCACCACTCACTCACTCACTCACCACTCACTCACCACTCATCAAACAAGCCACCTCACACGAGAACCTGTGCCAGTGTTACATCGGATGGTGAGCAACTCTGTACACTCACTCACCACTCTGTACACTCACCACTCACCACTCACTCACCACTCACTCACCACGCTGTACACTCACCACTCACTCACTCACCACTCACTCACCACTCACTCACCACTCACTCACTCACCACGCTGTACACTCACCACTCACCACTCATCAAACAAGCCACCTCACACGAGAACCTGTCAGTGTTACATCGGATGGTGAGCAACTCTGTACACTCACCACTCACTCACCACTCACTCACCACGCTGTACACTCACCACTCTGTACACTCACCACTCACTCACCACTCACTCACTCACCACGCTGTACACTCATTCACCACTCACTCACCACTCTGTACACTCACCACTCATCAAACAAGCCACCTCACACGAGAACCTGTGTCAGTGTTACGTCGGATGGTGAGCAACTCACCACTCACTCACCACTCACTCACCACTCACTCACTCACCACTCACTCACTCACCACTCACCACTCTGTACACTCACCACTCACTCACCACTCTGTACACTCACTCACCACTCTGTACACTCACCACACTATACAGTCACCACTCTGTACTCACCACTCACTCACCACTCACTCACCACTCTGTACTCACCACTCACTCACCACCCTCCCCTCCTCCCCCTTCTCCCTAGGTGCCCGTTCTGGTAACGATGACGACGGGGAGAGGGAGTTCCTCGTGAATGTTGTGCCCACTCACACACAGGCAAAGGTCCCCCGTGTAGCCCACGCACACTGTAGGGGCAAGTGCTGTTAGCGAGTAGCAGCCACCGCTGCACTACACAGAGAGGGTGGGTGGTCAGCACCACCACGCCCGGCCGCCTTTGTGTCTCTCTCCCACTGCTGCCGATGTTTAGCTCCTCACCACGGCACCAGGTAACTCATTTGAGGCCGAGTCGACCTAGGGGACGGACGCCCAGGAGCTGTTCAGGTGATCGTCACCGGCGGTGGCCGTGAGTGGGAATGGAACTCGGGGATGCCGGGTTCGCCGCGCTAACCGCTGCACCACCGCTCCTCAATCACCCACTCACAAACACACACACTCACTTACACACTCATACACTCACTCACTCACACACTCACTCACACACTTACACACTCATACACTCACTGACTCACCCACTCACTCACACACTCACACACTCACTCACTTACACACTCATACACTCACTCACCCACTCACTTACACACACTCACAAACACACTCTCACTCACTCACACACTCACAAACTCACACACTCACTTATACACTCATACACAAACACACTCACTCACCCACACACTCACACACTCACACACTCACTTACACACTCATACACTCACTCACCCACTCACTTATACACTCATACACAAACACACTCACTCACCCACACACTCACACACTCACACACTCACTTATACACTCATACACAAACACACTCACTCACTCACACACTCACACACTCACTTACACACTCACACACTCACTTACACACTCATACACTCACTCACCCACTCACTTACACACTCACTCACTCACAAACACACTCTCACTCACACACTCACAAACTCACACACTCACTTATACACTCATACACAAACACACTCACTCACTTACACACTCACTCACTCACACACTCACTTACACTCATACACAAACACGCTCACTCACACACTCACTCACACACTCATACACTCACTGACTCATCCACTCACTCACTTACACACACACTCACACACTCACTCACTCACACACTCACTCACACACTCACTCACTCACACACTCACTCACTTACACAGTCACACTCACACACTCACTCACCCACTCACCCACCCACTCACCCACCCACCCACTCACCCACCCACCCACTAATCTCGCTCACCCATGACGCCGTGCCCTGTCATGTTGCTGTACCGCAACTTGGAGTGTCGTGAAAGTTTAAATAAATAAATAAATCGCCTCCTTGTCACTGCTGTGTCAGAGACTCACCACACAGAGACCCACAGACTCACCACACAGAGACCCACAGACTCACCACACAGAGACCCACACAGAGACCCACAGACTCACCACACAGAGACCCACAGACTCACCACATAGAGACCCGCAGACTCACCACACAGAGACCCACAGACTCACCACACAGAGACCCACAGACTCACCACACAGAGACCCGCAGACTCACCACACAGAGACCCACAGACTCACCACACAGAGACCCACAGACTCACCACACAGAGACCCACAGACTCACCACACAGAGACCCACACAGAGACCCACAGACTCACCACACAGAGACCCACAGACTCACCACATAGAGACCCGCAGACTCACCACACAGAGACCCACAGACTCACCACACAGAGACCCACAGACTCACCACACAGAGACCCGCAGACTCACCACACAGAGACCCACAGACTCACCACACAGAGACCCACAGACTCACCACACAGAGACCCACAGACTCACCACACAGAGACCCACAGACTCACCACACAGAGACCCACAGACTCACCACACAGAGACCCACAGACTCACCACACAGAGACCCACAGACTCACCACACAGAGACCCACAGACTCACCACACAGAGACCCACAGACTCACCACAGAGACCCTTAGACTCACCACAGAGACACCCACAGACTCACCACACAGAGACCCACACAGAGACCCACAGACTCACCACACAGAGACCCACAGACTCACCACACAGAGACCCGCAGACTCACCACACAGAGACCCACAGACTCACCACACAGAGACCCACAGACTCACCACACAGAGACCCACAGACTCACCACACAGAGACCCACAGACTCACCACACAGAGACCCACACAGAGACCCACAGACTCACCACACAGAGACCCACAGAGTCACCACACAGATACCCACAGACTCACCACAGAGACCCACAGACTCACCACACAGAGACACACAGACTCACCACACAGAGACCCACAGACTCACCACACAGAGACCCACACAGAGACCCACACAGAGACCCACAGACTCACCACACAGAGACCCACACAGAGACCCACAGACTCACCACACACAGAGACCCACAGACTCATCACACAGAGGCCCACAGACTCACCACACAGAGACCCACAGACTCACCACACATAGAGACACAGACTCACCACACAGAGACCCACAGGTTCACCACATAGGGACCCACAGACTCACCACACAGAGACCCACAGACTCGCCACACACACACCCACAGACTCACCACACAGAGACCCACAGACTCACCAGACAGAGACCCATAGACTCACCACAGAGACCCACAGACTCACCACACAGAGACACACAACACAGACAGAGAGAGACAACACAGAGACACACACACACAGAGGGGAACACAACATAGACACAACATAGACACACAGAGAGACACACAAAACACAGACACACAACATAGACACAGAGAGAGACACACAGAGTCACACAGAGACACACAGAGAGAGACACAGAGTCACACAGAGAGACACACAGAGAGAGACACAGAGACACAGCACAGAGACACAGAGACACAGAGTCACACAGAGAGACACACAGAGAGAGACACAGACACAGAGAGAGACACAAAACACAGACACAACATAGACACAGAGAGACACACAGAGTCACACAGAGAGACAGAGAGAGAGACACAGAGTCACAGAGAGACACACAGAGAGCCACACACAGAGACACAGACACACAGAGACACACAACATAGACACAGAGAGACACAGAGACAGAGAGACGCACAGAGAGAGACAGAGACACACAGAGAGACACACAACACAGAGATAGACACATAGAGACAGAGAGAGACACAACACATAGACACAGATAGAGACACAGAGTCACAGAGAGAGACACACACAGAGACAGACACACAGAGACACACAACATAGACACAGAGAGACAGAGAGACGCACAGAGAGAGACAGAGAGACACACAGAGAGACACACAGACACAGAGACACACAGAGAGACACAGAGAGAGACTCACAACACAGAGACAGACACATAGAGACAGAGAGAGACACACAACACATAGACACACAACATAGACACAGAGAGAGACACAAAGTCGCACAGAGAGAGACACACAGAGACACAGACACAGAGACACACAACATAGACACAGAGACACAGAGAGAGACACACAACACACAGACACACAACATAGACACACAGAGAGAGACACAGAGTCGCACAGAGAGACACACACAACACAGACACACATACACACAGAGACACACAGAGACACCCAGAGAGAGAGGTGTGTCTGCTGGGGCAGTTAGCGATGGTGGTGGTGGTGGTAGTCACCACCATCGCTTGTGATTCTGTTGAGGTGAGGTTACCTCGTGTGTTGGAGTTTAATGAATGTGTTGCCTCTACAGGGTACGTCTGTGACTCTGTTGAACTCGCTACACGAGTGTGGACTCACACAAACAATCACTCCACGCCCAGGCTGAGATGAATAATTATCCAATGTTTAATTCATATCACATTATAACTTTCAGTGACCCATAGACTCGCACCCACAGACTCACCACACAGAGACCCACAGACTCACCACACAGAGACCCACAGACTCACCGCACAGATACCCACAGACTCACCGCACAGAGACCCACAGACTCACCACACAGAGACCCACAGACTCACCACACAGAGACCCACAGACTCACCACACAGAGACCCACAAACTCACCACACAGAGACCCACAGACTCACCACACAGAGACCCACAAACTCACCGCACAGATACCCACAGACTCACCACACAGAGACCCACAAACTCACCACACAGAGACCCACAGACTCACCACACAGAGACCCACAGACTCACCACACAGAGACCCACAGACTCACCACAGACACCCACAGACTCACCACAGACACCCAGAGAGACCCACGACCAGCACCAGGGATTGAACCCAGGTGCTGGTCGTCTATGGAGGCCCCACGCTGCTCGAAGGACATCACGGGAGACCGACTCCCACTCAGGGAGTTGACGGCCGCCCCTTCACACGCACGGCATTGTGGGTCTCCCCTCTCCCAAGGTTCAGAGGTCAAGACGACATTCACCAGGGCTGGGCCACTCATGAATATTCATTAAGGGTCCGGCCCACTCATGAATATTCATGTGGCGTGGCCCACTCATGAACATTAATGAGGCGTGGCCCACTCATGAATATTCATCAGGCACCGGCCCACTCATGAATATTCATGAGGCGTGGCCCACTCATGAATATTCATCAGGGCCGGCCCACTCATGAATATTCATCAGGGCCGGCCCACTCATGAATATTCATCAGGGTCCGGCCCACTCATGAATATTCACGAGGCGTGGCCCACTCATGAATATTCATCAGGGTCCAGCCCACTCATGAATATTCATCAGGGTCTGGCCCACTCATGAATATTCATCAGGGTCCGGCCCACTCATGAACATTCATCAGGGCTTGCCCACTCATGAATATTCATCAGGGCTCACCCACTCATGAATATTCATCAGGGTCCGGCCCACTCATGAACATTCACGAGGCGAGGCTAGGGTCAGGTTTTGCAGACAGGCCCTGTGGGCTCCCCGCTGGACGCCTCTACCCGGAGTCTTGGCGAGTCGATGGGCCCCTGTGGGTAGCCTCCACCTCCTGTGGGGTGAGGGGTGTGAGAGGGGTGAGAGAGGGGTGAGAGAGGGGTGAGATTGTTCACGCTTACGGTGGCTTTCAGACATCTTGCATTCACTTTGTAGGACTCCAGCGCTGTCCTACCAGACGGGTCTCATCCCCTTCACCTGATGAAGGCCGCTTGTGTTGTGGCCGAAACGTCGTGAGAATATTATTGTTGTCGTGTTATTTTATTTTTTTATCATCAATTTATTATTATTTTATGCTCATTCTACGTGGTGGTGGTGGGTGGTGGTGGTGGTGGTGGTGACTTTACCCGAAAGAACCAAAGAAGATGAATCCTTGCAGTCACGAAAGATTTAAATCGAAATTTAAACTGGCAAATCTCTGCGCGTGGCGCTGACGGATTTTTTGTTAATATTATAAATAAATAAATGCGCCGTTTTATAATAAATTAATTAATGCCAACCGGCACCACCTGATGACGACCCTTTGTGTTACGGTCGAAACGTCGTGAGAATTTTTTATTATTGTTATATATATATATTTCTTTATTATTTTATTGTTTCCCTCCGACGTGACTTTACCGAAAGAGCTAAGAATATGAATCACTGCAGTCACGAAAGCTTTAAATCAAAAATTTAAGAGGGAGGTTATTTTAGTTGTCTAGCCTAGGGGGCACCCCCAGTGACAGCTGTCCCTGTGTGTGAGTCTGCTGGTGCTGTAGCCCTAGGGGGCACCCCCAGTGACAGCTGTCCCTGTGTGTGAGTCTGCTGCTGTGTGGTGCTGTGTGGTGCTGTGTGGTGCTGTGTGGTGCTGTAGCCCTAGGGGACACCCCCAGTGGCAGCTGTCCCTGTGTGTGAGTCTGCTGTGGTGCTGTATGGTGCTGTGTGGTGCTGTGTGGTGCTGTAGCCCTAAGGGGTACCCCCAGTGGCAGCTGTCCCTGTGTGTGAGTCTGCTGCTGCTGTATGGTGCTGTGTGGTGCTGTGTGAGTCTGCTGTGTGGTGCTGTAGCCCTAGGGGGGCGCCCCCAGCGGCAGCTGCCCCTTGCGTGTGAGCCTGCTGGTGCTGTGTGGTGCTGTGTGGTGCTGTGTGGTGCTGTAGCCCTAGGGGGACACCCCCAGCGGCAGCTGTCTCTGTGTGTGAGTCTGCTGCTGTTGTGTGGTGCTGTGTGGTGCTGTGTGGTGCTGTGTGGTGCTGTGTGGTGCTGTGTGGTGCTGTGTGAGTCTGCTGGTGGTGTGTGGTGCTGTGTGGTGCTGTGTGAGTCTGCTGGTGCTGTATGCTGCTGTGTGGTGCTGTGTGGTGCTGTGTGGTGCTGTGTGAGTCTGCTGGTGCTGTATGCTGCTGTGTGGTGCTGTGTGGTGCTGTGTGTGAGTCTGCTGTGTGCTGCTGTAGCCCTAGCGGGGGGCACCCCCCAGCGGCAGCTGCCCCCCCCCCTTGCGTGCGAGCGGTGAGCTCACCCTGGGCGACCGTGGGTGAGGGAGCGACGCTGCCCGGACGCTCGGAGCGAGCCTCCTGGGTGCCATCGCGGTCTCTGAGGGCGCCCGCGATCCTCCTGCCCACGTACGTGCACGCTACACTCACACACACACAGACACACACACACACACAGACACACACACACACAGACACACACACACGCAGACACACACACACAGACACACACAGAGACACGCAGAGACACACACACACAGACACACACAGACAAAGATCCCCCGTGTAGCCTTAACAGACTGTAGGGGCAAGTGCTGTTAGCGAGCACCTAATGACACACACACACACTGACACACACACACACACTGACACACACACGCATGGACACACACACGGGCACACATACACACACACTGACACACACACGCACACACACACACGAACTGACACACACGCATTTACACACACGCACACACACACACAGACAAAGATCCCCCGTGTAGCCTTAACAGACTGTAGGGGCAAGTGCTGTTAGCGAGCACCTATGAAGGCCGGAACGGTACACGAGGGGGGGTGGGTGGCCAGCACCACGCCCGACCGCCTTTGTCTCCCTAGTGGCAATGTCTACACACCGCACCAGGTACTCATTTGAGGCTGAGTCGACCTAGGGGAGGCCCGGGACCGGTTCAGATAATCGTCACTGGTGGTGTTGGCCGTGAGCGGGAATCGAACCCGGGTCGCCAGGTTCATAGCGCAGCGTAGCGCTAACCGCTACACTACCGCTCACACACACAAACACACACAGACAAAGATCCCCCGTGTAGCCTGTAACGCACTGTTGGGGCAAGTGGATGTTCGCGAGTGACACACGCGGAGGTGGTGGGTGGGTGGGGTGGGTGACCGGCACCACGCCCGGCCGCCTTTGTCTCCCTCGGCAGCGACGTTCACTGCATCACAGCCGCTAACTCATGCAAGGCAAGCTGTGGCTCCTGGGATGTTGGCGTTGCGCGTTATTTACGCCCGTTTATTGTGACAAAAACATTCGGTCACAGTCCCCCCGCGATGGCTGTTACGTTCAAATTATGGCTTTATGTTTTTTTGGTGACTTTGGAAAACGTTTTTTTTTGGAGGGGGGGGGGGTTTTGGACGTGTTTTGTTATTGTTGTTGTTGTAGTAACGGAGTTAGACTGATGGCCTTAATCTAAGTTGTCTTGTGGTTGTTGTTGTAGTAACGGAGTTAGACTGATGACCTTAATCTAAGTTGTCTTGTGGTTGTTGTTGTTGTAGTAACGGAGTTAGACTGATGGCCTTAATCTAAGTTGTCTTGTGGTTGTTGTTGTAGCACGGAGTTAGACTGATGGCCTTAATCTAAGTTGTCTTGTGGTTGTTGTAGTAACGGAGTTAGACTGATGGCCTTAATCTAAGTTGTCTTGTGGTTGTTGTTGTAGTAACGGAGTTAGACTGATGGCCTTAATCTAAGTTGTCTTGTGGTTGTTGTTGTAGTAACGGAGTTAGACTGATGGCCTTAATATAAGTTGTCTTGTGGTTGTGGTTGTTGTTGTAGTAACGGAGTTAGACTGATGGCCTTAATCTAAGTTGTCTTGTGGTTGTTGTTGTTGTAGTAACGGAGTTAGAATGATGGCCTTAATCTAAGTTGTCTTGTGGTTGTGGTTGTTGTTGTAGTAACGGAGTTAGACTGATGGCCTTAATCTAAGTTGTCTTGTGGTTGTTGTTGTTGTAGTAACGGAGTTAGACTGATGGCCTTAATCTAAGTTGTCTTGTGGTTGTTGTTGTTGTAGTAACGGAGTTAGACTGATGGCCTTAATCTAAGTTGTCTTGTGGTTGTTGTTGTTGTAGTAACGGAGTTAGACTGATGGCCTTAATCTAAGTTGTCTTGTGGTTGTGGTTGTTGTTGTAGCACGGAGTTAGACTGATGGCCTTAATCTAAGTTGTCTTGTGGTTGTGGTTGTAGTAACGGAGTTAGACTGATGGCCTTAATCTAAATTGTCTTGTGGTTGTGGTTGTTGTTGTAGTAACGGAGTTAGACTGATGGCCTTAATCTAAGTTGTCTTGTGGTTGTTGTTGTAGTAACGGAGTTAGACTGATGGCCTTAATCTAAGTTGTCTTGTGGTTGTTGTTGTTGTTGTTGTAGTAACGGAGTTAGACTGATGGCCTTAATCTAAGTTGTCTTGTGGTTGTTGTTGTTGTAGTAACGGAGTTAGACTGATGGCCTTAATCTAAGTTGTCTTGTGGTTGTGGTTGTTGTTGTAGTAACGGAGTTAGACTGATGGCCTTAATCTAAGTTGTCTTGTGGTTGTTGTTGTTGTAGTAACGGAGTTAGACTGATGGCCTTAATCTAAGTTGTCTTGTGGTTGTTGTTGTAGTACGGAGTTAGACTGATGGCCTTAATCTAAGTTGTCTTGTGGTTGTTGTTGTAGTAACGGAGTTAGACTGATGGCCTTAATCTAAGTTGTCTTGTGGTTGTTGTTGTTGTAGTAACGGAGTTAGACTGATGGCCTTAACCTAAGTTGTCTTGTGGTTGTTGTAGCACGGAGTTAGACTGATGGCCTTAATCTAAGTTGTCTCGTGGTTGTGGTTGTTGTTGTAGTAACGGAGTTAGACTGACGGCCTTAATCTAAGTTGTCTTGTGGTTGTTGTGGTTGTAGTAACGGAGTTAGACTGATGGCCTTAATCTAAGTTGTCTTGTGGTTGTTGTAGTAACGGAGTTAGACTGATGGCCTTAATCTAAGTTGTCTTGTGGTTGTGGTTGTAGTAACGGAGTTAGACTGATGACCTTAATCTAAGTTGTCTTATGGTTGTTGTTGTAGTAACGGAGTTAGACTGATGGCCTTAATCTAAATTGTCTTGTGGTTGTGGTTGTAGTAACGGAGCTAGACTGATGGCCTTAATCTAAGTTGTCTTGTGGGTGTTGTTGTAGTAACGGAGTTAGACTGATGGCCTTAATCTAAGTTGTCTTGTGGTTGTTGTTGTAGTATGGAGTTAGACTGATGGCCTTAATCTAAGTTGTATTGTGGTTGTTGTTGTAGTACGGAGTTAGACTGATGGCCTTAATCTAAGTTGTCTTGTGGTTGTTGTGGTTGTTGTAATACGGAGTTAGACTGATGGCCTTAATCTAAGTTGTCTTGTGGTTGTTGTTGTTGTAATACGGAGTTAGACTGATGGCCTTAATCTAAGTTGTCTTGTGGTTGTGGTTGTTGTTGTAGTAACGGAGTTAGACTGATGGCCTTAATCTAAGTTGTCTTGTGGTTGTTGTGGTTGTTGTAATACGGAGTTAGACTGATGGCCTTAATCTAAGTTGTCTTGTGGTTGTTGTTGTAGTAACGGAGTTAGACTGATGGCCTTAATCTAAGTTGTCTTGTGGTTGTGGTTGTTGTTGTAGTAACGGAGTTAGACTGATGGCCTTAATCTAAGTTGTCTTGTGGTTGTGGTTGTTGTTGTAGTAACGGAGTTAGACTGATGGCCTTAATCTAAGTTGTCTTGTGGTTGTTGTTGTAGTAACGGAGTTAGACTGATGGCCTTAATCTAAGTTGTCTTGTGGTTGTTGTTGTTGTTGTAGTAACAGAGTTAGACTGATGGCCTTAATCTAAGTTGTCTTGTGGTTGTTGTGGTTGTAGTAACGGAGTTAGACTGATGGCCTTAATCTAAGTTGTCTTGTGGTAGTTGTGGTTGTAGTAACGGAGTTAGACTGATGGCCTTAATCTAAGATGTCTTGTGGTTGTTGTTGTAGTAACGGAGTTAGACTGATGGCCTTAATCTAAGTTGTCTTGTGGTTGTTGTTGTAGTAACGGAGTTAGACTGATGGCCTTAATCTAAGTTGTCTTGTGGTTGTTGTTGTAGTAACGGAGTTAGACTGATGGCCTTAATCTAAGTTGTCTTGTGGTTGTTGTAGCACGGAGTTAGACTGATGGCCTTAATCTAAGTTGTCTTGTGGTTGTGGTTGTTGTAGTAACGGAGTTAGACTGATGGCCTTAATCTAAGTTGTCTTGTGGTTGTTGTTGTAGCACGGAGTTAGACTGATGGCCTTAATCTAAGTTGTCTTGTGGTTATTGTTGTAGTAACGGAGTTAGACTGATGGCCTTAATCTAAGTTGTCTTGTGGTTGTTGTTGTTGTAGTAACGGAGTTAGACTGATGGCCTTAATCTAAGTTGTCTTGTGGTTGTGGTTGTTGTGGTTGTAGTAACGGAGTTAGACTGATGGCCTTAATCTAAGTTGTCTTGTGGCTGTGGTTGTTGTTGTAGTAAGGAGTTAGACTGATGGCCTTAATCTAAGTTGTCTTGTGGTTGTTGTTGTAGTAACGGAGTTAGACTGATGGCCTTAATCTAAGTTGTCTTGTGGTTGTTGTAGCACGGAGTTAGACTGATGGCCTTAATCTAAGTTGTCTTGTGGTTGTGGTTGTTGTAGTAACGGAGTTAGACTGATGGCCTTAATCTAAGTTGTCTTGTGGTTGTTGTTGTAGCACGGAGTTAGACTGATGGCCTTAATCTAAGTTGTCTTGTGGTTATTGTTGTAGTAACGGAGTTAGACTGATGGCCTTAATCTAAGTTGTCTTGTGGTTGTTGTTGTAGTAACGGAGTTAGACTGATGGCCTTAATCTAAGTTCTCTTGTGGTTGTTGTGGTTGTAGTAACGGAGTTAGATTGATGGCCTTAATCTAAGTTATCTTGTGGTTGTTGTGGTTGTAGTAACGGAGTTAGACTGATGGCCTTAATCTAAGTTGTCTTGTGGTTGTTGTAGCACGGAGTTAGACTGATGGCCTTAATCTAAGTTGTCTTGTGGTTGTTGTTGTAGCACGGAGTTAGACTGATGGCCTTAATCTAAGTTGTCTTGTGGTTATTGTTGTAGTAACGGAGTTAGACTGATGGCCTTAATCTAAGTTGTCTTGTGGTTGTTGTTGTAGTAACGGAGTTAGACTGATGGCCTTAATCTAAGTTGTCTTGTGGTTGTGGTTGTTGTTGTAGTAACGGAGTTAGACTGATGGCCTTAATCTAAGTTGTCTTGTGGTTGTTGTTGTAGTACGGAGTTAGACTGATGGCCTTAATCTAAGTTGTCTTGTGGTTGTTGTTGTAGTAACGGAGTTACACTGATGGCCTTAATCTAAGTTGTCTTGTGGTTGTGGTTGT